TATTCTATATTGTAGGACTTTGGGGCTCTTTTTAGGAAATGTAGGAACCTGATTAAGAAGCCTTGGGCCTTTGTTAGGATTCCTTATATGAATCCTGCCATATTGGGGGTTATAGGCCCAGGGTTTCTGAAGCAGGTTCCTACATAAGAATAAAACCCTCTGGAACCGCGTGTTGAAATCAGCTTAAAGTCCGATGTTGCTCTGCAGGCCCTCCCTGCCTTGACGGTGATCTTCCCCTTTAACCGGCTCACAGCAGCGGGCGCTGCCTCGAGATATGTGCGGCAATGCGGAGTGTAAGACTTAAGGAGGCGCTATAGAGGTTCTATATGGATGGTTGTCAAAGTTAGGGTCCCTTTTTGGGTACCCTAAATAATAGGTGCCGTATTATAATAGGGACCCAAAGAGGGACCCTAATTTTGACAACTATCCATATAAATGGGCTGTAGGGCGCGTGAGGAGCAGCTGCGCGTCCTGCAGCAATAGCGCGCGAACTTCGTCGATGCCGCTCCTAACCTAGACTGTTTGGGCCGGTGCCATCTGGACCTTTACAGTCCCACTCAGCTTCATATGATAGGGCCATGTTGCCTCATGTGGTCATTGGTCTCGGCCCTAAGTACCCTGGGATGGCAATCACGGTCGTCCTGGAGCCACTTGAGTCCCTCGCTCACGGCGTGGAACAAGCATTACCCATCCGTAGGTACGGTCTTGCGTGTGATGTCCTCGGGCAGAGCACGAACCTCCTGTTTTGAGCGCTTGGCCTCCGGCACGGGCTTGGTGTCACAGCAGCCAAGTATTTGCATTTTTGCTCAGCGAGCGGCAGGGGATGGCAGGGGTAGAGTCCTGTGGTCCCACGCGTACCGGACATCACAGCTCAGAGTTTCAGAGTAGGCACGATGGAGCACCTCTAAAACCCTTATTGAACTATTCCGAGACCCCACAAAAGTTCGCTATAGCAACTAAGAAAAGCTTGTCCATCCGGTCCGCGGATGCCCATTCGGGCACGGATGAGAAGCCTACACCCTAAGTCCTAAATCCTGAACCCTCAACCCTGAGCAACCCTAAACCCTAAATCCTAGATAACGAAGTGACCTTGGGGTCGGTCAAAGGCAGGATGAGAACCCTACTTGAAAGGGCAGGGGACTTAGTAAGTGGGGTTATAAGTAAGGTAACTACAGTTATAATTACTTCTAACCCCTATTAAGGGACTTATAACCCTATTTACTAAGTCCCATGATCCTCCAAGTACCTTCAGGGTTTTGAGGTTCAGGGTTTGTCGGGTACATGGTAGACAGTAGGGTTTCTATCCTTGAAAATACTATCATGGCTTGGGCAAGTATCCCCCAATGACATTCTGTACTTAGGGATCTCTTGAGGAAGCTACCGCGGTGCTCCGAAGGAGCTTTTGAGATTCAAGCTGCTACATAGTCCCCAGAAGCCCTTCACCCATGCCTGGCTTCAAAAACAGATACTGTTAATGGTATCAATCCTGCATTACCCATAATAGGGAATATACCGTTATTCCCACAGTTTAGGGTGCCTAAGGTCATGCAGGATTTCTACCATCAACCGTACCGGTGCGGTTTCGAGCTCAGGATTTAGTGGGTTGAGGTTCAGGGCTGAGGGTGTATTGATCGTCAGACATGTTGCGGCTGTAAGGCATGTTTCAATACAAATACCAAGGAGCCCTTGAAGGGCACGTATATCGGTCACCTTTACATGACTTCATAAAGGTTTCTTTGAGAGCCAAAAGCGCTAAAACAGCATGCATTATGCATTCCACTGGGCGATTCTCGGCCTGATTATGGCATTCGCCCAACTCTACGCAGTAAACCTCAAACCCTAGCTAGACTCGCAACTGCCCTCTACTATACCCGAAATGGCTCTATTAAGGAAAGGGCCATTGCGGGGGGTCCTGGTATACCTTAAACCCCCTATGTTGAGCTTAGACCCCTCAAAAACGATTACAAGTTTAGCTGTTTCTTAGGGTTTATAGGGAACTCCAGAAAGTTGGAATATGGTTTCAGGGTAGGATACCTCATAATTTACCATAGAAGGGTTTAGGATAATCATATTCCAACTTTCTGGCTTTTACTTTAGGGTTTAAGGAATATACCTAGGGTTCCTTTAAGGGATCTATAAGGGATCTATAGGGTGTAGGGGAGTCTAATATCCCTTACTTTACAATCAACCAAAATGTAAAATTTACCTGACCCTGGGGCTCCACCAGTAGTTCCTTTTTAGGGATCATCTAGACCCAAGAGTAACCTAGGAATAAAAAAGGGTGCCCTTTTTGGTTTAAAGGGGCTTATAAGGGAACCTGAACCCTTAAAAAGGGAATAAGGGCCTACTCTAGGTCCTAGTCATATTTAGAACCCTAAAAGGTAACCAGGTAACCCCAAAAAGGAACTACTTTGGAGCCTCTGGGTAAAGCCTACTTAGAGGATCATGGGACTTAGTAACTGGGGTTATAAGTAAGGTAACTATAGTTCTAATTACTTATAACCCAAGTTAAGGTACTTCTAACTCTACTTACTAAGTCCCATGATCCTTCAAGTAAGAGTTCCGACGACTGAGTGTGAGGCGCTGCTTTTCTTCTCCGCCTTTTGGATGTTCTTTTGCCTCGCCCGGGATGACTGCGAGAGGGCTCCGAAATGCCTCAAAAAGCCTAAACCCTGAGCCCCACAAAACCGCAAACCCAGAACCCTAAACCCTAAAAGACTCTAAACCCTGAACCCCCGAAGACCCTAAACCCTAAAAGACCCTGAACATTAAGCCCTAAATTAAACCAGGCTACGATCCCCACCTTCTAGATCCAAAGAGAAAAACTGAAACCACCCGGGACCCTCAAAATGACCGCCAGGGTTGTTGGGCTGTTAAGTGACCAGGATAGCCTCAATCCTTAAGAGTAGTTAAAGTGAATCCCAGCACTTATTGTATGTACTCACGTTTTCACCTTTCTGGAGCTTACTATCTTTTAAGCAACTGGAGCCCAAGGGGGTTATGACTAGCCAAGTCAGCAAATATGGGGGCTCTAACAAATACAAGTAGAAAAGTGTTCCTTTTCAATGCGGGCTATAAGGACTACTTTCAAGGCTCTTCTAAGGATTGAGTATAGGCCTTAATAATTAGGACCGGGTTTGGGGCCGTTTTACTATACGTGTAATCAGGAACCCCAAAATGGTCTTGGTCATCATTTAGCTCCCTCGAGTAGATCTGGTGGAAAGTCTGCCGAGAAGAAGAAACTGGTAGCAATGGTCATGACCTTCGACATGAAAGTGCGGGTGACAGTGACAGCGGTTTTAAGCGGATAAGGATGAGGAGGATGATGACGATGATGGTGATAAACTCACTCACTCACTCGCATTGCGGTCCATAGGGTCCAGAGCGAAACAAAACATGCATTCCCAAAAACTGGGCTAACTATAAGCCCAGCAGGAAGACAGAACTAAAAAGCAAAAGAGGGACGGACAGACAGGGAGCGAGCGCACAAGCTACAACCTGACGGTCCCGGACGTGAACGAACGACAAATCAAAGAAGCACGTACCACGAGCTCATCAGCCCCGGCCTCTTGGAGGGAGGGACGAGATCTCAAGCGGTCACAGGCAGCGGACAGATAGTCTGGATGCGAGGCAAGGAAGAGACGGCTTCCTTGAAGCGAGACACCGTGAAAGACAGCCTGCGGCATAAGGGCCCTCCAAAGCTGCATGCCCAGGTTGCTAGGGCGACCGCTAATCCAAAGGGCGGCACCAAGGTGCACATGCTTGCAGATCAACCGAAAAGCGACAGTGGCATTGAGAAGGCTACGAAGTCGCAGAGGAGGGCCGTCGGAAGGGCCACCAACATCATCAAGGGCAGTCCGGAGCTGACGAAAGCCAGGCCGTCCATCCAGTGCCCAGGGATGCTTCGAGTGCACAGTGTGCCATAACTTCCAGTAGACATGCCAGTCAGGTGGAAGACACCAGATGGCGGGTTGCTGCAACATCTCTTCCCACCGTGGGGAAACGACCGATAGAGCAGAGAAGGAAGGAGTGGGACTGTGCTCTCAGCCTCAATGAGAGTGCAAAAACGAGAGAAGGTCCGTATCGAGGAACAGGCGGCTGTGTCCTCAGACACAGAGATAGTGGTGGGCCGATCAGCAAGGGTCGGAGAGGCCAGAAAGTGGTCCAAGGCATTGTCAGGCCACTCATCAACCTCTTCGACACCTAGATGTAAGATTCGTTCCTCACGCAGTTCGTCAGCTGTGCAATCCCGACCTTGCTCGGCCGCTGCGCGTTGCGCAGGCGTAGCATTGACTGGCCCAGGCAGCCTGATAGCCGGGAGGCCTCGATGGGGCTTCGGTCCCTTGCGCTTGGAGCCGGTACCGTAAATGTAGGCGGGACCAACAACAACACGAAGGCCGTGAAGACACTCGGCGGAGGTCTTGCTTACTGTCTGAGTTGACCGGGCTTCAAAAAGTGTACACTTTTTCGCGGGTTTTAGTCAGCAGAAGCTCATGACTGCAGAGGGCTAAAGTTAAGCCCGAGAAGTGAGCAACATCAATTCGCAGACACTCAGGCTTCTTTTCGCCAAAGCCAATCCGGCGTGGATGTATTTCGGAGTGTAAGGGAGCTTGAAAGTATATTGGAACATATGCGAATATGTGAGAGTATATAAGAGTATATGAGATTATATCTCAGAGTGGGAGTTGTCGGCCAAATGCCCCGTCAGCTGCCAGCAGCAGCACCGTGGCATCCTGGCACGAGATAGTTGCCAAGAGCCGGTGCACACATACTTCAGGCATACACGTGCTCTCGAACTGCCTTCTTTTTCTAGGCTCGGCGGTGACGGTGTGTTGGCCAACTCGGACTCACAGCTCCAGGCGGCTGGACCGACAAGTTCGACAACAGGGAGTGACAACTGTTATTGTTCATGACGATTGCTGATTCTAACTCGGAGAAGGTCCTGCAAGGAGCCGGTATGCAAAATTTGTGTTTCGGCCGCAAGCACTTCGCACAGCTACTTACAAGAAGCGGGCAACTGCATTCAGCATTGTGGCCGCAACAGCCGCAGGCACTGTACTGGCCAAAATGGATTGCTGAGCAGCCTCTGACAGCAAGGAAAGATTTGCCGCCTGTGCCTTGTACCCCAAAGCTTCAAGAAGGCACACTCGGTTCACACTTCCATCCTGCGCGATGGAGAGAGGCAAGGAAGCCTTCTTCGGATCTGGAATGCCAAGCTTCACTGGCAAAGACTTGTTCGAAGCATCTATGAAGCGACTGGCCTGAGCTGTGCCAGCAAGGCGCTCCAGCTTCTGCGCGGCGGCCAGGATCTTGAGGTCCTTCTTGTCGGTGCTCTCTGTTTTGGGCAACTGCTCATTGACGTGCTTGTTGGTGCCGTGGACATGAGGCAGCTGCAGGATCTTTGCCATTTCATGCGCAAGTGCTTTTGCCAAATTCGAGCCCTGTTGCTCTGCCTGGCAAAAAATTGTGACGTAGCAAGAGGTATCGAAGCAGGAGAACAAAGACCAATTAATCTCATGGCTTCCGAACACCCAACCACACGAAGCCGGATCTGAGATTGAAGGTGGCCGCGGACTGGACAGAACAAGCACGATCTTCACACCACGCTGGTGAGAGAACTCCTTCCATGACTTCAGGAACCACTCGAAGGCCTTCTTACTTGTCGGGGCCCGTCCAGCCACAATCACAGAAGCCAAGCACTTAACGTTCATGATATCACTGCTCGTTTGCAAGCACGCAACCTTCGCAAAGTTTTTGTCATAGAGAACCCGAGCTTGCTGTCTAGCAGGATCAAGTGCAAACTCCACAAGCTTCACCTCCGCCACCGACTTCCCGGGCCAAGCCACCTCGTCCAGAAGCAGTGGTGACGCAAGGCCGCCGCCGGCAACCCATAGAACGGATATCTCCTTTTTGGCTTGGCCTGGAGAATTGGAAAACTTCAGAAATACATTGTTGGCTGAGTTGTTGGGATTGCCATCCTAAGGCATAGCTAATGCCGAATAACACGCAATATCAACCCAAGTGGCCTGCGGCAGGGCTGCTTTGCACGTGTTTGAACGAAGGAGCCGGGGAAATGCTGCTTGGAGTGAGCTCTCCAGAATAGAAGTAACCGAGGTGCGAAAGCAATGGTAGAAGCACTTGTGTGCACTGAGAAATGCTCATGGCGTTTCCGGCCATGTCCGTGATCTCCTGGCTGAGCAATGAAACGAAACGAAAATAGGACAATATCGCCAAGAAACATTTGTCGCGGAGGCTCCTTGTCTTTCAACCAGGTCACCATCACATCTTTCACATCTATTCCCAAGAGCTGTAGCTGCATTCGCGCATCCAGGAGCTTCTCTGATTTAAAATCGAAAAGCTTGGAACTCGTCGTGATCGTTCCCCAAATGCCAGTGACTGACAACTTCAGACGGTCACTGCTCTGTGACACGTCAGCAATGGCCACCGGCAAGTTCTCCAAGTCGCCATGCTTCTCGACGAGTATCATCAAGGCCACATCAGCAATTGCCTGCGTGCCAGGAGGCATGCACTGCAAGGCCTTGCACACAGACGACGGCCTGAGATGCCGATGCTTCGGCACAGCAGTCTTCGGAATCCTGCCAGCCTCGATAGCTTTCTGCATCTGTGTTGCGAAATGTTGGGTGTAAGCAACCTCTCGCGTGCCATCGTACTCCTGGCTCTCCGGCACGCCCACCTCGGCCACGGAACTCTGGTCAAAGTAAAACTGCAAGCTTTGCCGCGGGATGGTCTTGGCCGCTGCAGAGATTCTCGAAACTTGTTCCTTCCAAGCGGAGGCAGAGAAAGATGGCTCCTGTGATCCTAACCACCACACCCTCGGTCGAGTGTCGGCCATGGGAGCGGAATCCAAGTTGATGCACTGCACGTTGAAATTAGGCAGCTCCTTCGATATGACTTCGTCGAAGACATCCTCTTCTCACAAGCAGGCTTGGATTTGGCGGCAGATGTCGTGACTACTAAAATCGCTATCAGCACTATTTAAACACACGCAGATGTTGATGATTGTACTCTTCTGTTCATGCCGTCCTTGGGGGACTGTGTCGCACTTTCATCCTCTGGGGCACGGCGCTTGCGAGGGGCCCTCGGATGCGGAATCGAATAACTGCAACACAACCGATTATCCTAGGACAATATCTGCGAAGATCGAATGTTTCCAAATGATCCCTGGGAACTTGCAACCTTGCACGTTCTCCAGGATGAAGAATCGAGGATTCGCCTTCTGAAGCAGCTTCATCGTGTCCTGAAAAGACATCCAGCTGGCCGAATCCGCCGCCACCGGATCCTTGACCCACCGACTGCCGTTCTGCAATGAAGAACTCTTGCACAGGAAACCGGCGCACAGCAGCATGGGCGAAGTCGTCGGAACTTCGCAGCAGTGGTTATGCACGTAGCAATAACCCGAGCCGTTGAAAGTTGAAGACATGTCCTGCCATGTGTTCAATGACCCTCGACAAGATCACGATCAAAACCATTTCTCGTTAACAAAAGTCCTTGAAAAGATGTCCGTTCGCTCTCCGGAAGTCGAAATTCCTGAGCAAATGATAGGCTGCGCCGAGCCCACACTCAGAGCCATATAGCTGTCGCGCCGGAACTGACAACAGTTTCAGCGCGTAAGACGGCATGCCCGTCCCATCAAAGGCAGAAGCCCACTCCAATTCATTGCTCTTGTCGGACCGCCGAAGCCCTGCTGCCTTTGTCAGCAGTTGAACTGTGGCCAGTGGAGTCACCATGCCAGAAGCCATAACAGTCGGCGTCTCCGGCAGCTCTTCCTTGGCCTTGGGGTTCTCTTCATCAGCCTTCTCCGACTGTTTTCCAGAAGCTGCCTTTGCACAAGCAGGCCGCTTCCTGGGAGCCCCCATTGGCACAAAATGATCTCCCCACCTCCTTCGGCCCGATCAGCTGCATGAATCAGCAAACGTGTTGCATCAAAGGTGCTGCATACTTACTACCATCTTGCGGCGAGGAAGATGCACACAGTCAGCTGTCAAACTTTAGCACCCTGCCTCAGGATCCTCTGCTGGCAGCGTCACCTGGAAGATCTGTTTATTGCTTGCTTATCAAATGTTGTATGTTCAAGTTGCCGGCAAAGCTCGTGAGGAAGCTACCGCTTTCAGGACACAGACGAATGAGGCCGTGCATGATTCTGATTTTTGGGACCCCTGCTTGCATGGCAGTCTCAAGGCTGCAGCTTAGTCATTCAAAACTGACAGGTTCACAAAACTCTGAGCGAAGGCAGGATCTTGTGCAAACTCGACGACAGACAATCTCGCGCCGTCCTGGCACAAGAAATGCAGAAGTGTCTTTTGCACTCCTGCATGCAACACTCGCATCGCTTCGTTTCCTCTTGCTGCATTCTTCGCCTTCCGGAAAGCAAAGATATCTTGAAGAGTACTGAACATGCACCGCCCGCTTGCCAACTCCACTAAGGAGACACCAAACGCCCACGCTTCACCTTGCTGACCAAGCCTCGTCCGGATTTCGGACAGTGGAGCATGAAGTTCCGGGGCACGGTAGGGCAGCAGATATGGGGGACATGTAATGTCTGTAGTGTCGTCTTCCTGTCTGCACAAGCGGAAGTTAGCAAGCTTGACGCAGCGAGCGTTGCCGTCGTAGTACCAAGCCTGGGGCCGCAGATCTAGATGAAGCAAGGACAGACGGTGCAAAGTCGAGACGGACCTTGCCATCTGATAGGCAACATCCCGCAACAGCCACTTGTCCGAATCCACTCCAATTGAGCCCAGCGGAGGAAAGAAGTCGGTGACGATGCAACGATTTGGCTCCTGTTCTCTGTCCATAGTAGCATAAAGCAGCCTATGAAACAATTCCTCGTTCTCCTTAAAATCGACGTCCTCCGATTCCTCTTCGAAGGCCTTGTACAAGCACTTCAAGCACGCAATCTCCCGCTGGAACTCATCCTGACAGTTGTAGAACACGGCCCTTGCACGAGTTCGCATAACTCTGTGTTGAACGAGGTAGCAGTCGGCAGAGTGACCAGGGAGCCGCTCGTGCCCATGGCTAACCAGCTCGTAGTCACCAATTCTACCCACTGGCTCAGCACACTGCTGCTTTGTCTCAGGCACGATATCAACCATGTCCTTGATGGCCTTGCGACGTGCTTCCACCTCCTGCTTGGATCTCTGCATGTACACATCTTTGGCTGCTTTCGATAAATCCCCCCAAGCCTTTCCAACGGCTGAAAAGAGCTGTCGATTCTGCTTCTGGTTTGTTTTGCCAGCCTCTGGGAACATCTCATCTCGGATTCGGGGACGGTTCTCTTTCACGAAGATCGCATAAGCTGTTCGTTTCTTTGGTGCCAGACTTTGAGCGATTTTTTTCATCTCGGCTTTGGTAGGACGTTTGACTGGCTTCCTGTTCGCAGCTTTCGCAGCTGGCTTCTTGCGTGGAGCCATTCTGAGGCGAATGAATCTACGGAGCTTCTACTCCTTCTACTCACATCTGACCTGAACCCGGATGCGGATGTCTGCTTTCAGAAGCCTTAGTACATGTACTGTACACCCAACCCGGGTTGGAAATCGCTCACATCTGCCTCCGCTATCGACATGCAGACGCTACCTGACACTTGACATACCTAAGGCTTAAATCGCCGTCTCGAGCACAATCAATGAGTGAAAGGCATAAGACATGTAAATAACTTGCACAAGCACGACCAGAAGAACAAATCGCGGCAAGCTGTCCAGCAGCACTTGTTCTGCTCTGCACGGACCAGGCTCCCCACCCTCGCCGGCGAATCTCCGTACACCTGCGCCGCACATGATCTCGTATTTCACCGGGCGATCTGGGAAAGACTTTGCTAGGATCTGTAGAGTCTGCAGAGCTCAAGCTTTCACCTACGAAAACAGTTGATCAACACCTTTCTTCGAAACGGAGATGCTTCGGATGTCGAGTCGAACTTGTCACTGTCACCGTACAAAAACTGAGCCACTCCTTGAGTGGAGAAGCTGACGACTTCTCGATCAGAGCTCGGACACAAATCAAAACTGCCAACACTCCGTCCGCTGGACTACGGCGTGACTTCCGCATGGGATCGCTTGAGACTCCTGGTACCTGCCTGCAGCACATCCAAGTGCTCCCGGAGCTCATTCAACTCCATGTCCTTGGCCCTGGCGGGATATTTCGCAAACTCACAGCTGGACCCATGTAAACCCTGCTTAATAAACTTAAAAGATAAACCATGATGCAGCGCTCCTCGCTGTCTTGAAAGGATCGAGAAAATCCACCAACGGCGTGGCATCCTCTGAATTATGACCCTGGGCGACGGCCGGCCTCGTAGATCACTATCCGAGGAAGATCCGTCGGCCGGCGGCTTAGACCCAACCTTGGCCGGGAGTCGGAAGTATCGCATGGCTTGCCGATCTTATTCGCACACTGGTCGTCAACTTCAAGGAGCAAATCCTTCGCTGCACTCTTCATCTGAACATGCCCAACGCCGCCTGCCGGGAGGACACTGGCAGGAGATGGCCCGCTGCGACCTGGGAGATCGAATTTCTGATTAATCACACCCGTTGGCAAAGGCTTCAGGCAAAGGCTTGAGAAAGAGAAGCATCACATGAATGAAGACCCGCAGACAGCAGCCGAAAGCTTTTCGATTCGCAGCGGGCCGAGCGTGGCCTTCTCCAAAGAAACTTCGAGCCTGCCCAGTAGCCTGTGTCTCTCTTCAAGCTTCTTTGTCCGAGAAGTGTCCCACGATTATTGTAATTGGATGCAGAAAACCTTCTCTCGACACAGGCCAAGCTCGGGACCCTGTGAAATCAGCAGTACATCCATCCCTGACGACAAGGGCTCAGGACCCTGCGAAATCAGCAGTGTATGCATCCCTGACAACAGGGACTTTTTAAAATGAAGACACCGATGGAGAACTCGCCTCACGACGGGGCTTCTTGACTTCACGACCAGTCTCTGCGTCTGACTCTGCAAACTGACTGGCTTTTAAAAGCTCCAGCTTGCTTTTCAGCTCATTCAGCTGAGTCCCAGCCCCAATGACCTGATCTTCCAAGGACTGAATCTCCTTCAACTTTTCGGTCCTGCCAGAGGCCAGGAGCTAGCTGGGCACAAGACACACTTATGGCGAAATCTTTCAAACACAGCTCCTCTTCAAGCTTTCCGGCTGCACCACATCCGCAAAACTCATCTTCGATGCGAGGCCGTCGGTGCAGTTGGACAGCTTGAAAGCGTTGACGGCGGCACACATGGACATGAGCTTCTGCCCGATGGCGACGGTTGATGACGTGTCATCATTCGCCGCCCGCGCGACTACGAAGTCCACGGGACCGTGGAGTTTCGAGAAGGAGTCGAGCACCAGTCCGACGTCCTGCGAGCTCAGCAGTATTATTAACGAATCTCAATCCCTGGATCTGCGCACACACGGGCACCCCGCACCTCCCTGCATGTGGGGATGGAAGCTGCCTGCAACCGCAGCTCCAAGATGCAGAATGACTTCTTGATGTCCTTTGCCTGAAGGCTCGCCATGATCGAGGCCTGTCGGTCGTCTCTGAACAGCACCACACCTGTTCCAGGGGGCAAGCGCACTTTCCTGGGCACGTTGCTCATCATATAATCCAGCATCCAAACGAAGTCCTTAGACGAATAACATGGAACACTCCTGAGCGCTTCTGCCGAGCACACACACAGGCACAGCACGAACTCCGAGCTTGGACCCTGACGAGGTCCAGCTCCCACCACTTCTCCTTGTGCAGCTGGTCTTCGCTGTTCGTCTCCAGCACCGCATACAGCACCCAGGTCAAAGCATCCGTGACCGGGGGTCGGCCGTTCCACACTTCTGAAACCTGACAGCACAAGATCTCCGACAGGACCTCAACCGACCAATCCTGCCCCTGCAGGCCCACCATCCTGCTGCCCGGAGAGTGCTGGCCGAAGTGGAAACCGGCAACCCGCAACTTCCCTTGGATGAGGGCGAAAGGGCCAGTCATTGCAGAGGGGGAGATCACCAAGTGGAGAATCGCGAATGAGAAGTCTAACTCCCCTCCTTTCACCGGCCGCTGGTGCTCGCCAGACAGGTTGTAGTTCAGGTTCCGTCCGATACGCAGGAGGGCATCCTCGGCTCCGTGATGCTGCAAGACACGACGACAGGACGACAAGCCAGCAGATGGTGCGCCAAACTTTGTGACTGCCAAACCTAAAGGACTCGAATCCGAGACACAAAGCAAGCTTCGGTCGGGGAAGAGGCCAGTGGCAGGCCACCAAAGGCCCCCTGGGCGGAAATGATCACTCGCTGAGGGCTCATGTACCGAAGCTGATCCAAGAGCTCCCGCCACTCCTTTGCCGCCAAAGCAAAATACGCATGAGCCATGCCCTGAAAGTCGGAGTCTGAAAGCACAAGGATGCCCAAGCTAGGAAGCTTCTCAAGAAATGCTAGCGGCATGGGCTCTACATGCCATTGCTGCGCATTGCCCGCAACTTCTGCTCACATGCTTGCATGCTTACAGCAGTGTGCATCAACAACAAATCTTTCTGGCTCCAAGAAGAATCCGTCTCAGTCAAAACATGAGCAATCCCAGCCTGACCAACAAAGACAAGTGGAATAAATCCATATCATCTTGTAATTCGGACATGCATTGTCTGCTTCGATAACGCTGGGTTGCTCTTAAAAGAGTGCCCGGCCTGCCGAAAATTGATTCAGTGCAGACGACTACACAACGTGATTGACGCAGCAGCCTGCACAGGTATATCACGGACACGAAGATATCATGAAAAGGCGGGTGTCGAGACAAGGCCGGTGTCTTTCGAGAACTCTTCACGCGGAGTCTTCGTCCCCGTCTCCGTCAAACATGTTCGGAGCCATGCTGGTATCCTGCACCGGCTCTGGGGCCTTGGCCGGCTGCACGGCCGGCGTCGCCGGCTCTACGGTCCCCTCTGCCGATTTGTCTGCAATGGGGGACGCCTCAGTGGTCACTGCAGCTGCAACGGGAGCCTGCTCGCTCACTGTCGTCCTTTCCAAATCAGCCGCTACAGGGAAGAGCCGATTGCGTAGGAAATCGCGCTTGCCCCGGATGGATTCAATCATGATGGTCAGGACTAGCCGTTGAGTGAGAACCTGCATCAGGTAATGCAACACCAACAACAAATTGACATATCACTCAAGCACGCAGCTACAGCCAACTCTGCCGTGCCTCCCGGTGTGTTTTGCTCTGAACCAAGCTCAAGCAATGCACATCCTCACGTATGCAAGCCAGTTCTGCTTGCCCGAATCCCGGGCAGAAGGACACCACCTTCGCCGGAGTGCCCTCAGAACCAAACATGTTCAGCAGCTCTAAGAACACTTCTTCCTGACAGGTCCACGGGAAGAAGTAGAAGCCATCGTCCACAGCTGCGGTCTCGGAGACCTCCACTGCCTCCAGAGGCGGCCCTGCTTGCTGCTGGTCCTCCTGTTGTTCCGATCCTGCGCTCATGCCCTTCTGGAGCTCCTTGAACACCTTTTCACACAAGCGCACCTCGTGATGTTCCCTCGCACGCAGCTTCAAGCCTGAAAGACCCCTTGTGAAGGTCGAGCCTGGCAGGTCAATGAATCTGCGAGGCCGCATAAGCATCTCGACGCCCACTCCCAGCACTGTGACACATGTTTCCAGAGGGTCTGGAATCATGCAGATGGCTTTGGCTCGAGGGCTGAACGCGTATCCTCCCTCGCCAAACTCTTCATTCGTGTAGATGAACCTGTATTGGGGTCCCAAAGGCTTTTTGTGAGTGTGATCAGATTTCTTGGCCTCGGCGCAAATATTCTTTCGCACCTTGGTGCAGATATCGCCTCGGCGGCCGTCGAGCACAATTAAGACAGACGATTGTGCGAAAAGCGGAAAGGTGGCTGCCATGCATGCCTGCATGTGACCTTCGTCGAAAGGACTGAGGAGATGCCACAGCCGACTCTGATACCGGGCGGACGTTTTGTCACAGTGTCCTTTTACGTCGTATATGAAGAGCAGGCGCTCCTCTGCCTGTTCAGGGGCCCGCTTCAGCACTGGGTGATCCCGGAGCGCATTGCACAGATCAGTCGGGGGAGTCTCCATGAAATGGACGTTGCTGGCCACTCCTTACACGAATTGTTATTATTATTTTTAATAGACCCTGTAGCCACAACATGATCATTCCACCAAGAGGCTCGCGCATGCGAACCGATGAAGGTTCCAGAACACACTGTCATCTACACCGGCCAGTGTGACCTGCATGCTCTCTGGGATGATCAAGGCAGGGAAGGCCTGGGCCCAGGCACGCGGTGCCGCTGGCTTCTGCTCAAGCTCCTCCTCCGGAAGCTCGGGCTGCGATTCCATCACAGAACCAGTCTGGGACTCAGCAGGGACCGGCTGGCTCGTCTCCGCCACGGAGGCTGCTTCCTCAGCATTCTCAGCAGCTTTTGCCTGCTGCTTCAAAAGCAGCTTGGCCTGCTTGTCTGCCTCCTCGTCTACCAGCTTCTGAAGCAAGGCCTTGAAATGTAAGGAGCTTTCTATGTCTGCATTCTCAACCAGTGCCTGTCCGTTCATCATTGGACTCTGGCACAGCAAGTTTCCAATGTGCTCGTCGCAGCTGCCGTCCATGAGACAGAACACTGCCTCCCGCAGCATCTTCTCGGCTACGCTGGTTGCAGGGGGCAAATCTGCAACTTTGCCCAGGTTTGCCTGCAGACCCTGCGGATGTCGTTGGTGAAATTGCAGGAACCCGCCGAGATCCGCAGCGTGTGGGAGCTTGCTTTGCATGTACAGTGTCATCCGACGGATTGCGAGGTAGACAGTTGCCAGCTCCTTCATTTTCTCACGGCCTTCCTGCACGGAAGAATTTCACTCCAAACCGAGAGATCAGACCCCTAAAGCCCTGGACCCTCAAAGCCTAACCCCTAAACCCAACCCCCCTGAAATCCTGGGCCCTAAGCCCTAAACGACTGGACCGTAAACCCTAAGACTGTAAACCCATAAACCATAGCCGGCCTTACCATTGTTGGTGCCACGGAGCTGGCGGACGAAAGTGGCCTCCAGCACATATTCCAGGAACCTCAAGCAAACCGACCTACCCGTTATTGCAAAGACACAACCCACGCAGACTGCAGGCCTTGCACACAAAAAGCCCACCTTGTTGCTAGAGCTGGGTTCGAGGGCATTGCCGTTTTCTGACACACAGCATCGATCCCTTGCACGAGGCAGAACGGATGGCCCTTGCCGAAGATGCTTTCGAACTGATCCAGAATGTTGCATGCATGGGGGCTGAGCCTGCCGTGAACTTTGATGGCCATTTGAACGGACTTCAACGAAACAGCATCCTCAGATGTCCACTGCACGCCCGCGTTGAGATACTCAAACACCTGCTCCTGGCCACAGGGCCGGTTCTTGGACCTCAACTCCTCTTGCGCCTTGACAGCCATCCGAGTCAGCTTGTAGCCAATCAGGCCTGCGAAGACCTCTTCGGCCTTCTTGTTCTGATCCAATTGGATCTTTTTCAAGACGACACTTCCAGACACCATCTCGAAGACCACAGGGATGGAAAGTGCCGAGGCACGATACTTTGCAAGTTCCGCGGGATCCTGGAGGCACATCGAGTATCCAAAGAGCCATGCCAGTCTGAAGACGCCGCCATCCATGGTATCAAAGAAGCCTTTCTCTGGAACTTCTTCGCAGGACTTGGCCTGCACAACGGTTGGGAATTGCATCATGGCTGCAGGGCCGGCCTTTGCGAAGAAGTGATTGTAGCATCTTTTCACTGTGCCAATCACAGGAATCATGTCCTGGTGCTCGAGTGCCTGAGATGAGGTATTTACACGCAATGAGACTCCACTCGACACACTGGGCTGTCCTTCCTGCTGGGCAAGGCACAAGTCCCAACCATCGGAACGGCACAACGCAGGAACACTTGCCATGCTTTGTCATCGCCTCCTTGTAGAAAGCTGTTGTCACAGCCATCTGGCCCCCGAACGAGACTGGATCGTCTGACTGCTCGTCCAGCCACTGCAGCTCGTCCAGCATTGGCACAAGGATGGTTTCCGCAATCTCTTTTACCGCTGACTCTTTCCCTTTCGAGCTTTCAATCAGCATCTCGGCCGACCTACGCAAGAGGCCCCCAGTTGCTGAAGGCACAGCAGTCTCCGGCACGTCCCCCGGAGCGGAAGCTCTCGCAGCCGCATCGGCTGGCTTGATTTTTTTGCCCGTCTGTTTCGCCTGAGGCTGCTTCGATGCGACCCGTTTGCCGCCAGCCATGCCCCAAGTGTCGCAGCTACCTCGGGCTCGTGCCCACTGTTAAAAGAGCCGATGGCTGCTGCCACGAGAGAAATGTTCGGATGGAACACGAGCGCGGCTGCTACGTGGGCTGACTGCCCCCGGCTGCACATGCATGCAAACACGTCTGGGCGCAGACGAATCAGACGTGCAATTTGCTTTAGGATGTCATGTTCGCATGAAGCGGCGGAAGGATGGTAATCAAAATCTCATGCGATATCACTACCAAACCGAATCAAAACCGGCTGCTCTGATGACATGTATCCTGCTCTCGGACCCGAGCGCGGCTGCTACGTGGGCTGGCTGCTCTCAAGCAGGAAGACCACCAGGAAGCCTCCAGCGAAGCGAAAAGCCAGTGTACTCTTTTTGACATTAATTAACTCCCCGACGGTTGCCACGATAGCGGAGCGATATCAAACGACCCGCTGCATTGTGAATTAGCGCCATCAGAATCCACTGGAAGCCCCTTACCGATATGTCCGCTTGGCAATCAGCTGTGTCAGTACAATAACAAACCCTGAGAGCCTTCGAAATTAAAATCGACCAAGCAGGGTCGGCATACAGTCGAGGCCAAGACCTGAGAGACTTTCAACTTCCGAACTGAATTGCTACTTAGGCTACTACAGTACTCCGCTACAATACTCCTGCCACTGCTTCTGCTAGTACTGCTACTGCTGCTTGGACAGGGTACCGCGGCGAAGGGGCATGCCTAGACCTACCAAAACCTACAACGGCGAAGGGGCATGCCTTGGCCTACAGAAAACCTACAACGGCGAAGGGGCATGCCTTGGCCTACGGAAAACCTACAACTAGACTTCAATACGCGGCGAAGGAGCATGCCGCCTAGACGTACATCTACGCTACAGTGCCATACGCGGCGAAAGGGCATGCCGCCTAGACAGATAATCTAGAATTCCACTACACTGCGCGGCGTAGGGGCATGCCGCCTAGACAGATAATCTAGAAGTCCACTACACTGCACGGCGTAGGGGCATGCCGACTAGTATTCGAATTACACTACCGCCTAGGATACAGCTGCAACGAATCCTAAGCCCAGTCTAGATATCATGCCTACGATCCAACACCCCAAGCCACAATCCCTGGGTTCAATCCCTAACCCAAATGCCGAAAGCTTAAACCTTGATCCCTGATGTCCCAGGCGAAGGCCGCAGGTTTGGCTAATGCATCTGGAGTTTTCGGGTTTAGGGTTTAGGGCGGTGGGGTTCAGCTTGCATGCCGAGGCTCAACACACGAGTCGGTTTGGTGATCAGGGGTTCCAAATGTAAATAGGGAGTCCTTTGCAGTAAGATGTTATACAAGGTTGCGGTCAGGATTCGGAGTTTTAAGGTTTAAGGGTCTTGATCTTGTTTCAGATCAGGCTTGGAGCCGTGATTGCCGGTGCCAGCGCCGACGCGCCATAAGCTTTAAGATGCCCTAAGCCTATCACCGTCACGACCCCGATAAACCCGGAACCAGACACTCCAAATTAACCCCAGGCCCTAGTTGCCGCACAGCCAAACTCTTCTCTGCTTAGACCCTCATACCTGAATCTAGACAACTGAAATTATCTTCGAATTTGAGACCAGCCCCAAAAACTATACCACGATTGCTACTACGAATACTACTCTGACCACCGGGATTAATGTCAATGCCACACACTATGCCCTCCTCAGAACGAGAACCCAGCAGGAGTGAGGCGTCGATGTTCCACAATGTGAACTACCTACCAAGGAGTAATGAAGACGTATCCTTTGCAACTTCCACCTCAAGACTTGGCCCTGGGTCTCCGACGCCTGGCGCAGCTCGGGGACCGAAAGCCGATTACCTGCGACAGGAGCAGGGAGGTTATCAAGAGCCAGTCTAGCCTTACACGGCGGGTCCTTGTCAATAAACCCTCCACTCTCTTTGTCGATTGAGCACGCACGCTTTAGGCAGAAGTCGCCAATCTCCTATCTTTTGCAAGTTCCTTCCCCCAGCAACTTGCTCTGCAGTGGTTGGACTCGTCGCTAATATGTATCAAGGTTTACATATTTGGTTCTATTTGTATAATCTACGACCGAGGCAAAGGAAGTCGTTACGGTTCGATCCACTGTGTGCGCTGGTGGAAGAAGTGCAACATACCGGCTGGGATGCCAATCTTAGCTTCCTTCGCGGCTTTTGCCGCGAGCTCTTTCAAGCCCTCTGGCTTGCTGGCAACTGCATCACCAACGAGAACCAAGCACTCTTTTTTCTGTACATCCTTCCAACTGCTACGCAGTTGCCAAGCAGCTGGCTTCCGGGCAAGAGTTGCGCCCTCCAAGCATCTGGCGATGGCGGCTGCACATTCCAGATCCGCTTCATCCTTTAAAGACTTATGGAAGCAGATCTCGGTTGCGATGCTCAAAGTACATCTCAGCTGCAAAACTGGCTGGACCAGTCGGCCCTCGGATGTGCAGGCTTCGAGCCAACGCGGTGTACCGATAAAGCCACCCAAGAGCCTGGTGGCCAATAGAACTGCAGTCATATGCCGATTCTGCTCCGGCCCCACTGTCATCCCAAGTTCAAGTTCATAGCTGCTGGCAAACCAAAGCAATTGGCATCCACGGAAACGCTGAAACTGCTCCTTGCTGTTCTCCCAGACCTCTACCTTCAACCGCAGGGCTTCCAGAACCCGAGCATCCTCTGCTGCACAAGCCACAGCGCAAACGCTGCAGGCATCCAGGCTTGGCTGGCCTGGCAGCTCGAACAACTGCTTGCGCTCCAAGTCCGCCTTGATGCTGCTCTCTCTCCTCTGATGTTCCCTCAGTTTCTTGGTCGTCTGTGTTCGAACCCCGAACGGCTGGGCATCCTCCTGGAACTGCCGCTTCTTCCTCAGCGATGCAATGGTCCATCCTACTCTAACATAAGATAATCGAAGAATGGTTCGTTCTTAACTTAAGCTACCGCCGTTTGACTGCTGTGCGGGTGCGCAGCGATGCGACGTCTGTCTGCAACAATCGAGTCAGCTTCTCGTACTTCTCTCCCCGCCGGTCAGCGGCGCTCTGCGCGGCAGCTGCTGAGAGCTCCCCCAAATCTGAAACATCTGCGTTCGGTTGCAATACTTCCAGCTGAGCTCGCCTCTGCCGCTTCAAACCAACCATCGAAAGACGCTCACTGCTGGCCTCCGCATTTTCGGAAGGCTTCGATTCTTGCCGCCTTGGCAGCTTGGATTTCTTGGTGTTCTTGGCCCCGCCATGTAACTGTAGGAATGCCCTTTGCGTTCGAGAACAATGCTCCGAAGGGACGTATCGCCCAACGGCTTTACCATCCAGCTGGTGGCACTCCACGAACTCTGAAGGCGGCAGGCCTTGCAGAAGTATATCCAAGATTTGTTCATGATACCTGTTGTTCACACGTAGGTAGAAGATTGCTAACATATAGAATTATAGAATGAAAGACAGTGCTTATTGCCAACGTGGCCGTTCAGTCTGCATTTCATGAAGCTGCGAAGGTGTTCGATGCTCGTGCGGGCTTTCCGCCCCTTGGACAGCATCTCCAGAAGAGCGAACTGCTGTTCAATCTCTGCCGTGGAGGCAAACGTGCATTGCATAAATGCGACCTGAGGTACCAGCATGAAGGTGGCATGCATTTTACAGCGGATCGGATATGACTTCGAGTGTGCCATAGCAGCTTTAAGTTTCAGGCTGCCTCTCTCAGCAACGGCAGCTTGTCCGACCAATGAGCAGCCGCTTGCAGCCAAGCAGTGTCGATGACCCCATTCCTGCCACAAAATCA